TGTCGGGTCTACTCACCGAGATGCGTAAGTTTTTGTCCTCAAAATTTGATATGAAAGATCTTGGTGAAGCTTCGCTCGTTCTAGGGATCGAGATTCACCGAGATAGAAGTAAAGGGTATTAGGACTGTCACAAAAGGCATACATAGAAAAAGTCTTAAAGAAATTCAAGATGCACAAATATAGTCCCTCACCTCCTCCTATAGTCAAGGGCTTGACATATGGGGATTTTAATGCCCCAGAACCAATATGAGATCGATCAAATGAAAGTGGTTCCATATGCTTCAAATGTCGAAGCTTGCAATATGCTCAAGTGTGTACGCTATACGACTTGGCATTTGTTACCGGGTTACTTGGCGATTCGAGCAATCTCGAATAGAACACTAGAAATTGGTAAAGAAAGTCTTGCGTTATTTGCAAGGAACGAAAGGCCTCATGATGACATATAGAAGATCTGATTCACTCCATATAGTGGGATATTCAGATTACGATTATCACGGGAGATAATAGAAAATCCACGTCTGGGATATGTGTTCACTCTCGCAGGGGAGCTATTTCATGAAAAGCTCAAAGCAAACCGTCACTACATCGTCCACAATGTATGCCAAGTTTGTAGCGTGTTATGAGGCAGCAAGGCAGGAACTGGGCGGCTAAAGAAGTTCATACCCGATTTGAAAGTGGTTGATTTACATCAATAGACCACTTTGAAGTTATACTTGTGATAATAATCCAAAGAATCATGTATGCTCACAACAATAGGTCAAGTGGTGCCAATTGTCACATTGACATAAAGTATTATGTTGTGAAGGATAAAGTCCGGGATCAAATAATAAGTCTTGAGCATATAAGTACAAAAAATATGCTCATGGATCCGCTTACAAAAGGCTTACCACCCAACGTGTTCGAGAGAACATGTAGCCGGCATGGGTTTAAGGGAAAGCCTATGATTCCGGACTATAAAGGCCCAAAAGTTAAAGTAACTATTTCGAGATCGTAGAGGCGTGCATTGTAGTGTTAAATCTATCGGCGATTGACCGTGACGATGAGACATGCTCTATGCATCATCTGTGAAGGAATGAGTAAGGATAAAAGGATTGAAGTTTTAAAAGTTTAAAGATAAAAGTAATAGTGAGATCAAGGGGAGAATGTTAGATTGATCTCCTAACCAATAAGCCCAACTGATTTATTGGGCCTTGATCACGCTGCATCGATCGGGGCACCCAACCCTACATGGTTGGGCCTCGCCGTCGATCCTTAGGCTATATAAAGAGGTGGAGGCCAACGCTCAAAGCACGAGGTTCGGCCCGTGAGCCACAAACCCCACCGACAAAAACCCTAGACCGATCTAAGAGGTGTGCGTATGAAATGACGGAAGCTCATCGTGACCCTCGCATATCGTCATGACGCAAAATGACCTTGATCGACGTCCAGTGCAACCTTTACTCCACCTGTCATGCTGCCCTTGTCTTTTCCTCCATCACCGAACCAACATGGCCAATCACAACATGACTTCATCTGAAGGCTCGCATTCATCACCAAAGACCTCTCTACCCTATCTCCCTCACGGTGTAGTGTTCTAGGTTTAAATGTGCATGTGCTTCACGGATCCAAGTGTTTATTCCCCTAGATCTACCCTAGTCGATCCACAGAATGTTAACACTGGGGCGTCAAATGTGGTCCACTAAAGGTTACATACTGTGATACTGATCTCTGCCTTAATCGCGGTTAACAACTTGCATGGTATGAGAGAGAGAGAGAGAGAGAGAGAGAGAGAGAGAGAGAGAGAGAGAGAGAGAGAGAGAGAGAGAGAGAGAGAGAGAGAGAGAGAGAGAGAGAGAGAGAGAGAGAGAGAGAGAGAGAGCAGAAAACCTGCATCCAACCAATCTGGAGGACATACAGAAAGGTATCATAATTCATAAAGAAAGACACTTGTCCTGGTAATACTTTATTGACTGTCCTGCTATTCCTGCCTTTGCCTTTCTGTACAATTTTCCTCTTCAGCTACTATGAAGCAGCATATAATAACTAAAAAGGTTTCTGTAGAAGTGGTTGTCCGTATGGATTATTGGCATTAACATCTCACGAAGAAAAAGATTAAAGATAAGATAGCAGCAGTTTAAGATTTGGTTATGTTTACCTTCAGCATTGACACCATTTAAATGAAATGGATCATGCCGTGTAGATGAAAACTTTTATCTAAGGCCTGAGTTGCAGGAAGCAGAATGCCTGAAATGAAATACAAAAGGCACGGCAAGGATATTTCCGGTCAGAGTTTGTTAGAAAGCATAACTGTTCTTCAGAACCTTTTTTTCTGGACATGCACTACTCATGAATCATGATAGAGAATATCAGAACAGAGCAGCACATGATCTTCCGGTTGAGCTGTGTGTATAAATGGGCAGCAGCAGCAGCAGCATAAGCTCGAAGCATCGCAGCTCAGACATTTCATTAGCTAGCCCTGAAGGTAAGAGTTGTAGGAAACTGAACTCTGCTGTGCCTTCCGTTCCGTGACAGACAGTTTCAGGAGTTCAGTTTTCTCCAACATTTTATCTTCAGCGCCTCTATCAGTAGCCATTGCAAAATCAAGCACATGTGTGTGATGAGTTAGCTTTGGCTCGGGTGACAACCCTGAGCTGAAACTTTGGCAACTGAATTTGAGAATTGGATGGAACCAAATCTGGTTGCGGAAGCAAGACAAGACTTGGTTTCCTCCAATATCTCATGTTCAGTTGATCAAATGATGTGTAGGTGCACTGGTGCAGTGCAGCAGTTAGACGAGACTTCTGTGAAGAATTTGGAAGCTGAAGGTGAGTGTTGGCGGGAACCAAATCTCCAGCTGCATGCACAGAGATTTGGTTTCCTCCAATGTCTCATCTTCAACTGTCCCAAATAAATGCAACTTTAGAGGCGTTTTCAGGATTATTATTATCATTCACTGAGTGAGCAAATACAGCATTTCGAGCGAGCCCTTCGCACCCATTTGGGGTCTTGGAGTGAGCCAATATATTTTGGTAGTTTTCTAGATTTTTTTGGATTTTTTTTGATTTTCCTAGAGCTAAATCAATTTTTAAAAAGATTCTAGAGATATTTTCACAAGATATAGATATATTATTTAGGTTTCTCGTGTCCTAATCCATCTTTAGTATTTTTCTCAGAATTTTTAGAAGCTTAGAGATTTTTTTTTGGTTCAAAAACCTCATTAGGTATTTTATGGATTTATTTTTAAACTAAAAAAGACAAAACTGTCTTTTAAAACCACCTATAACCGGGTTAGGGAGGTAAAATGAACGGTTTTAAAGGTTGAGGAGGTGGTTTACCACGTTTTGGAGTTCAGGGAAGAAAAACTAGACTTCGAAGATAGTTCGAGAAGGTAAAATGGACTTTTTCCTTGGAGGGACGTCTAATTTTGTTGCTTGAAGAGTGTAGGTCCTTTTTTTCTGTAAGTTGTGACCAACCAAAACGCACAGGTGGGATTACATGCGGCCCATTTCCCTATTTTGTTTTCTCTTTTCTTTTTTATTCTTCTTTCTTTCATTTTTCTTTTCTATTCCCCTGCTTCTTATTTTTATTTTGACTTCATGTTTTTTCCTTTTAAGCATATTTCTTATAACAGAATATAAATAAGCATGTAATTGATTGCTCCGTTGATGAAAATATACTTTTCACAGTTTATATTTTAAAATTCTTTAACAATTGATTTTTTGTGTTATGTTTTATATTGTTCTAGTAGTGAACAATCATTATTAAGTGGTACAATTTGGATTGTTCACAGGGTAGAAAATGGATACTTCATAGTATATTTGATTGTTCGTTATGAAAATCCATTATTGTATGGTATATTTTGAGTTGTTTCCAGTTATGAAAAAATACTGTTTTATGATATATTTTGGATTGTCACCGTAGTCTATAGTGAAAAAACTTATTGTTCCACCATGGTATATTATGTAGAAAAACTCATTGTTCTATGGTATATTTGGTTGTTTCAATTATTGAATTAGTGCTATTCTATATTATATTCAATTGTATGTAGCAACTGCGAAAAATTATTGTTGCATTGTATACTTTGGACTAATTCTAGCAGTGAATTTTTCTTGCTTCGATATATATCTTATATTGTTCTAGTAGTGAATCATATCCAATAATGAAACTGTGAAGTGAACAAAACAATATCTACATGAAGAAAGGAAATAGAGGGAAATATCATTAGAAAAAAAGAAGAAAAATATCATAAAAACTAGGTCACGTCCAATTGGGCAGGCGCACGCTCTTTTCATCACCAGGAGACAAAAGAGGAATCGTCCCCAAAGCAATGCATAGCTAACTCCCGTAGCTGCAACGTAGAAGCTTTCGCACTATTTTTTAGATTTGTTATATTCAAAGTTTATTCGTAATTGTAACTATAAACTAAATTATGCATCCGAGTTTAGAGTAATGCAACTGTTGAGAAATTTATTAATGATCAATTAGTGATTAATCCAAATGGTGTCTTTTCACACACCTCTCTTTCTATAGAGATCATTTGCATTCTCGCTCTCTAATTCTAACACGTTATCAGCACCGCTCTTCGCTGAGCTCGGTGACTTCCGAAACTCGATGGCTTCTGTCCAATTGTCCATCATAGTCCTGAAGCGTCCATCGATCGAACAAGAACATCAGGCCAGAAGCGTTCATCGATGGAGTAGAAAACGCTGTCCAGCGGACGTGCGCTGGTGATGGCGACCGACTTCAGGGCTGGCTCCATGCGAGCAACGGTCGAGATCGACGCTGGTGTTCTCCATTGCAAGAACTGAAGAACAGGTATCTTGCTGTACTGAAGAAAGGAGACAAGAGGCCACTGGTATCTCTTGATTTTTAGCTTCGCCTGCACTTGTGGAGATCAACGGTGACACAAGTCACAGAACAAGAGGCAAACTTGCCCGCGTCTACAAGAAATTGATCTCCAAATATATGAACAAAAGAGGACGTTGGCAGTCGAGGTCGGCGGCCTACACTCCAATCGGAAATCAAGTCTTCGTTCTCCTATCACACGGTCGGTGGTCTTCAACATCTGCAACAAACATGGAGATGGACGAATCAGTGGCACTGTGGCCTGCAAATCCGACCAAGAAGGCAAGAACAGCAATCCGATTGAAGAAAAAGGTGGACGCTTGCATTCTTTGATGAAGAAACACACAAGGAGTAGAAAAGCGTCTGGACACACAAATCCGTAAGCATATATGTGAATTTCTTCAATTCATTGAGTTCTTACCTCTCCATGGCAATGGCCGTTGTGGAGACCTGGTGCCCGGGCTTGGCCTGCGGTGGCGGTTGCACGCCTGTCTGTGGCAGCGTGCTCGCCGGTCCGAGACAGGAACGGCGTTTGGCAAGCACCGGAGGCCAGGCGCATCATGACGGCGGTTGTGCCGGTGCACCAGGGCCCGCATGCCCGACCGACAGCGGAGCGCCCACATGTGCCAGGCAAGGGCGGCGGCGGTGCCTGTGCGCCATCTCGCGGTGGCTGCGTGCCCGGTCGATGATGGCGCTGCTGACCACGAGCCCGCCTAGCCGCGATGAACATCCTGCGCCAGGACGGCAACGGCGGCGCTCGCCCGCGCCAGACTGGTAGCGGTGGTGCTCACACGTGCTTGGCGGCGGCGCTCGCCCGCATCAGGCCGGCAGCGGCGGCGCCCGCACATGCCAGGCCAATGAGCGGCGGCGCCGCCCCTTCGGTTCCGAGCAGGCGATAGGCGCCCCGTCGGCTCGGACCAGGCGGAGGCACCCCTTCGGACTACAAACGGCGGCTGCGGCTCAGGGCTTGCGGTTAGGGTTTTCAATCCCTAACCGCCGGCTTATATAGCCCGCCTGCGCTGTCTCCCACCTGGGCCAATATGGCAACCCAGGCCCAGGTTAAGGCCCACGCGCGTGCCCCTAGTGGATGTGCTGCCTGTCACTGTTGCTACGGGCCAAAATCCCTCTGTTTTGGCCCGACACAAATAGTTATCTCTGTTAATTTTTATTTTCAGCAGTAGCAGAATTAATTAGCCTATGTTTTAGCTAATTTAATTCCTGCAGAACATCAGTCTTATATGTATAATTACTTGATGCTTTCTGTACCTGTTGTTTAATGCCATTGTACATATGTGTTTTGATTCAATAATAGTACAATGCAATTTGTGATTCTATTATAGAATGGAGTATGTTGGTGCACCCAAACTCCAATTTTGCGCCACATACATGTTATATTTGTGACTTTGTTATTGAATTTGGTATGTTGGTGCACCCAAACCCCTATTTGGCACCACATACATGTCGCATTTGTAATTCTATTATAGAATTTGGTATGTTGGTGCACCCAAACCCCTATTTTGCACCACATACATGTTAAATTAGCAAGTTTCTTCAAAGACAATTTAACAATGTTATCCTCAGAATTAAAATGCTATTAATTACTGTGGGATTAAATTTAAATATATATATCATATATCTTGATTATTTTGGTTAATTAACACAAGGTAATGGAGTCTAAGGCATTGGATGCGTTTAATTCACTTATGAATTATCCTGCCTAGAGACCATGCCTATAGCAGTGATTAATCACCCATTACTGAGAGGTCTACATCATGTCTCTCTGAAACTTGATGATTACCTACACTGTGTTTTTACCCAAAATAATGGTTTTGGATAATGACAAATGGTCTACATCTTAGTGATTATTACAATTTTGTCATCATTTTATTTTCATATTACACAAGATGGTAGAGATCTAAGCATTGGCTGCATTTAATTCACTTATGAATTATCCTGCCCAGAGATTGTGCTTATGCAACAATGTATTTGCCTACCATAAGGATCTACTTTTTGTCTTTGACATAGAGATTATTTACCTTGTGTATATCAAAATTTATGAAGATTTGTTGTAAGGTCTACACAATTTTTGTGATTACCTACAATGCTCCAAAACTATGATGAGATATAAATTCTAAAATATTGCATTTTTTAGTATTACAATATCACCATAGTGATTTTTAGTTTACCTTGGATGTAAATTAATTAAATCAATGGTTTGTCACATGTTGTGGATATTGACTTTAGAGGAGTTTGTTGAACTCGCTCTCGATGGCATCACTATCCCACATGGACAGTGGACATTAATATTAGTTTTGTCCTATGGACTAATGGAAGCATTTAGTGAACCTTAATGTGAGTTGCTCGCTCATTATAGATAAAAAAACATGCCTTATTATTGTTAAGGTACTACATCCATAAAGTTTTTTATAAGAATATCTTATGAAAGGAAATGCACATAATTTTTGGCTTAGTCTTCAAGAGTTTTATGAACAATAAATGGACTCATATAGCTCAAGGCTAATCATGAGTGGATCATGTCTCTAGTTTTTCAAACTATGAAAGGCTACGATCATATTGTTCATACAATTCGCTTCCAATGGCGGAAGCAAAAGGCCTATTGTGCAAATGAGTCATGACAATGTGGACCCAAGAATAACAAAGTAATGTCATATATGTGATTGTGTTTAGCATATTGCTAAACAATGTCATTCTCTTGTTTATAATTGATCTATATCAAAAGTCTATAATGGATGAAACATGAGCTAAGATATAAGATATGAAGTATGTTTCAATCTTAAATTTGAAGCTACCTAGGAGGTTGGTTGTTTTTGCTGGATCTTATGGGATCATGTAACAACACTCCTCTTTTTCTCATAAGAGAACCTCAAATACATGGACAACATGAGCATCGAATATGCTTCAAATGACTTGCTTTGAGATTTGGAATAATCTCATGGTCCATTGATATTATTTGATAATGTCCATTGGAATATGTTATAATACTTGTTGTCAATGCATAACTGAGATTTGGAATAATCTCATGGTCCATTGATATTATTTGATAATGTTCATCGGAATATGTTGTAATACTTGTTCTCAATGCATAACTATTGTGGGTATCATATTGATGTATTTGATACTCGACAATATTTATGGATTTCTATATATTAGACGAGAATTTCATTGAATTCTTGTCATATATAGATTGTTCGGGAATCATTTCAATGGGGAATGATATGTGCCTAGTAGACATTTATACCACAAACTCTATAACTAGGGAAGAAAATATTCCTGGTTCTTATGACAAGAAGAGGGGATCATTTTGGTCATCACTGATGCGATGCAATAATAGTTTGGCCTATTTTGCCACTATCATTCTTTCTATGGATACTAAGTTAGTAATTAAGGATGTTTAATTATGTCCTAATTACACTCGTATCTTACCAAATTATAGAGATATCCAAATGTGTTTTCGTATGGAAAACAAACAGAAAACATTGGATATGGCATATAAGTAATGAGATAAGTCTCGTTTTGGTTGTATTATGCATACAACCATCCCTGTACAACATGCTGCGTATAAGATAATTTTTCACACTATTGATGCATTCTGGATTTGAAATGATCAACTTGGCCATCATAAGGGATGAGGTGAAAAATTATTGGCAATCCTATTGGTCATGATTTTCCCAAAGTGTGGATACGATAAGTGCATAGTGTAGGGTCGAGATGGCGACCAGAGGGGGGGTGAATAGTCATTTCTAAAACTTAATCGCGCCGGCTAATCGAAACAAGTGTGGAATTAAAACTATCGATCTAGCCAAGACTATACCCCTCTATCTATGTTCTCTAGCACCTTGCAAAGATTCTAATTAAGCAACAAAGGTACCGGGTTAGCTAGAGCTCACCTAACCAATTCTAGAAGCAAGGTCACACAAACCTATGCCACTAGTACTTCAAGCAATGAGGGAGCTCCTACACATGCTAGTAAGTAAAAGCACAAAGCTCCTAAGCTCATTAGCTATGCTCAATAACAAGGCAACTAATGCCAAATTAGAGAGCGCAAATACTTAGCTACATAAACTAAGTAATGTGACTAACAAGGTTACACAAACCAAATTAGCCACGCAAGGAAGCTACTTCTATGCTACACAAGCAAGAAGGTAACTAGTGAGCTACACAAGCTAACTAATTATAAGAGCAACTACACAAGCATAATATATATATATATATGAAAGTAATTACAAGCTTGTGTAAGGGGATTGCAAACCAACAGGAAGGACAATGTTGACACGGTGATTTTTCTCCCAGGTTCACGTGCTTGCCAACACGCTAGTTGCCGTTGTGTCGACCGCTCACTTGGTGGTTCGGCGGCTAATTGGCATCACCCGCCAAGCCCGCATGTCGGGCACCGCAAGAACCTACCCCGGAAGTGAGGGTAGCTCAATGACACGCTTTACTAGAGTTGCTCTTCACGGCTCCCGTGGGGCGAGCACAATGTCCTCTCACAAAGCTCTTCTCTAAAGCACCGCACAAGCTTCTTGCGGGCTTCAACGGAGACCACCACCAAGCCATCTAGGAGGTGGCAACCTCCAAGAATAACAAGCACCACCGGCTTGCAAGACGACCACCTAGTGCCACTCGATGCAACCTCATGATGCAATCGCACTAGAATCGCTCACTCACACAATCAAATGATCACTATCAAGCATATGTGAGATGGAGGGCTCCCAAGCACTCTCAAGCATGGACACAAAGTCCCCTATGTGCTCTTCTACAGCCATGGCCAAGACACCCTTCTATTTATAGCCCCCACAAAAATAGAGCCGTTGTACCCCTTCACTGGGCATAGCTCGGGGTGACCGGACGCTCCGGTCAGATTGATCGGATGCACCTAGCCAGCGTCCGATCAACGGATGCACGCCACACGTCACCTTTGTTCAACCTCAGTTACTGGATCTCAACGGTCGGCTGCCACGCGCCAATGGTCAAGTGATGACCGGACGCAGCACAGTGCCAAGACTGGACGCACCTCTACCAAGTCCGGTCGTTTCTAGAGAGGTTTCATTCTTGACCGGATGCGTCAGTTTGATCACGACCGGACGCAGACCGACCAGAGTTCGGTCATTTCCAGAGAGCTCCCGAGCCTCTATTTTGCGATCAGACGCGTCCGCTCCTGCACGACCGGACACAGCACCTGAGTCTGGTCATTCTTCGACTACCACGCGTCACTATTGTTCCTCATGCCACCACGTCAGCGTACGTCAGCACTGACCGGACGCAGACCCTGAGCGTCTGGTCACTTTTCACGCCAGTGTCCGGTCATGAGACCGAGACCGCGCGCTCACTGCTGCCACTGACCGGACGCGCCGGTCCTGCCGAGGCCAGCGTCCGGTCACTCACAGTGACCTTCTTTCGCCTCTGTTTCTTTGCCGAGTTGATCCACATCAACTCTAACTTCTTCTCCTTTATAAATGTGCCAACACCACCAAGTGTACATCACTATGTGTATGTGTGTTAGCGTTTTCACAATCATTTTCCAAAGGATTAGCCACTCAACTTGCCACGCCACTCGATCCTAGCGACGATGCAAAGTTAGATCACTCGAGTGGCACTAGATGAC